GCAGACATACTGGAACTTCCGGTGACCTCCCAAGGGAATAGGTATGGTTTGGTTGTGGAAGATCACTTTACCAAGTATGTTAATGCGTATGCAGTCCCTGACCAGACAGCTGTTACGGTGGCTGAATGCCTTTATAAGGAGTATATACTGGAACATGGGGTGATGGAAACCCTTCACACTGACATGGGAAGGCAGTTTGAATCCGAACTGATTAGGCATTTATGCCATTTGTTGGCGGTCAAGAAGACTCATACCACTCCCTATAACCCTAAATCAGACGGTATGGTCGAAAGGTTTAATAGAACCCTGATCAACCAGTTGGCTAAGACACTTTTATCCTGTGAAGGGGAATGGGATGCTTATGTTAGACAGGTAGCACCGGATTTACTCCGTATTTCCTCACACATGGACTCCAGTAGATATGATGCTGGGGCCTTTGACACAAAGTAACTCTGTCTGTGGCTCCCCTGGTGATTATGCCAGGTCTCTTGCCCAGAGTCTGGAGGTGACCTTCAACCAGGCAAGGGAAAACAGCTTCAGAGCTACAGAGAGGCAGAAGTTGCATTATGATGGACAGGTTAGACATAAACCATATGAAGTAGGGGATGTCGTGTGGCTGAATGAGCCCACAGAAAGCCGTCTCAAGTTAGCCCCACACTGGAAGGGCCCATATGTTATTTATAAAAGGATGGACATTGATGGGGAGACAGGGGTCACGTATCAGTTAGGTAGTCCACTGGGGGAGCAGGTCTCTTTGCAGACAGTGCATTATGACAGACTTCGGCCTTATTCTCCGCCTGAGTCTGTACCCTTGACAGTGATGCTGAAGAGCCCTTTTCCATTTGCTCATCCTGCATTTTCATCCAAGAAGCGTGTGGCGTCAGAGGCTCTAGAGGTACCGCCATCGGAGGAGACTACAACCTGGGGACCGGATGGGGTGCCCGGTGGCACTCCGCCCCCTTCACTCCCTGTCCCTTGTTCTTCTAGATGTGGGAGGCCTTTAAGGGCCCCACCAAGATTGCCGGATTATGTGTTAAGGTGAAGGGACATTTGAAGAACAAAAGTGTGACTGTTTATACAGTAAGGGCATATAAAGACGTTGATAGACTGGCGGTTTGTTCAGCAGGTCTGTCTTTATGGCTGCGGCGACATGGAAAGGACAGGTAAAATGGTGTTTAAGCAGTATGGGAGGGTTGTCCTTTGTGACTGTTTTCTTTTTTTGGTGTTTGGCATGTGGTGGTTTGGTAACAGAGGTTTGTGCTGCAGACGCCCAGCAACAACAACGTGTGGGCAGCCCTTGTCACATGGTAACACACAACATGCTAACACACACAGCGCTCTAAACCAGCATAACCGGCATTTCAGGGAGGTTAATTTAATTTAATTTAATTTATCCTTTATTGTCCCTCATGGGGAAATTGTTTTTACGCCTCCCTCAACTTGCTCTTTGTGGAGCATGCTGTCCGCGAAGGGCAGCCACCCATAGCGGCGCCCAGGGAACTGGGGGTTAAGGGCCTTGCTCAAGGACCCGCAGACATGCTGAGGCTGGGTCTGAACCGGCGACCTTGTTACAGATGGACAGAATTGTGAAATTAGGGGAGAAATTACAAGCTTAGCATGAGAGCGTGAGATTGGACCCGATTGTGGGAGTCTGACGGTCAGTGTGGGAGAGCTGACAGCCCTGCACTGTGGTGCATCTCTGACGATGCCAAACACACGTCGGTGCTTTAGCAGGTACTGCTCATTTATCATCTCATTTCTGTCCAGATGATTCTCTCACTCTCAGGGCTACAGGTTTTAAAATACCTTTATATCAGAGCTTAATTCACACCTAATCACCAGGTTGCTGTATAAAAGGTACAATTATAAACAGTGAAGGAACAACAGCTATTAAAATACACTATATTGCTAAAAGTATTGGGACACCTGCCTTTACACACACTTGAACTTTAATGACATCCCATTCTTAATACATGTGTTTTAATGTGCAGTTGGCTCACCCTTTGCAGCTATAACAGCTTCAACTCTTCTGGGGAGGCTGTCCACAAGGTTTAGGGGTGTATTTATGGTCATTTTTACACTGATGTTGGAGAAGGCCTGGCTCACAATCTCTGCTCTAATTCATCCCAAAGGTGTTCTATTGGGTTGAGGTCAGGGCTCTGTACAGGCTAGTAAAGTTCCTCCACACCAGACTCGCTCATCCATGTCCTTATGGACCTTGCTTTGTACACTGGTGCACAGTCATGTTGGAACAGGAGCGGTCCATCCCCAAACTGTTCCCACAAAGTTGGGAGCATGAAATTGTCCAAAATGGCTTTGAATGCTGCAGCATTAACAGTTCCTTTCACTGGAACTAAGTGGCCAAGCCTAACCCCTGAAAAACTACCCTACACCATAATCCCCCCTCCACCAAACTTTACACTTGGCACAATGCAGTCAGGCAGATACCATTCTCCTGGAAACCGCCACACCCAAACTTGTCCATCAGATTGCCAGACAGAGAAATGTGATTCGTCACTCCAGAGAACATGTCTCCACTGCTCTAGAGTCCAGTGGTGGCTTTACTGCTCAGCCATGGAAATCCATTCCATGAAGATCTCTATGCACTGTTCTTGAGCTAATCTGAAGGCCACATGAAGTTTGGAGATCTGTAGCTATTGACTCTGCAGACAGTTGGCGACTTCTGCACACTGTGTGCCTCAGCATGCGTTGTCCCTGCTCTGTGATTTTACGTGGCCAACCATTTCGTGGCTGAGTTGCTGTTGTTCCCAATTGCTTCCACTTTGTTATCCCAACAAATCAGATAAACACACTCTCCCTCTATCCAGCAAAAAAAAAAAAAGATAAACTAAATAAACTTAAAAAATTTTAAAATGAATAAATAATTGGGGGGAGGGAATTAAAAATAAAAATAAATAAAGGAAGATGAACCCGATCACAGCAGCGCACACCCTACAGAACCTTTCAAATTAATCACAGTTAGAAATCATGAGTTTCCAAAAAGTGTATGTAGGGGTTCCATAGATTAGCAAAGGTCTTATCTTTCTTTTTTACAATATATGTTAATCTCTTCAGAGCCAGACAAGCCATCAGTTCCTTTGTCCACATTCAAGTTGAGGGTGCATCCAAACTTTTCCCCAACAGTGCGATTATCTTTCTGGCTTGTAAAAGTCCAAAGTCAATAAGCAGCGACTGCTTCTGAGTCACAACAAAATCTTCAGGATATATTCCCAGTATACAAAGTTTGGCTTGTAAAGGAACCTCTCTTCCAATTATAAGACCCATATATTCTATTACACTCTTCCAAAATCGCTGTATCATTGCACATTCCCATAAACAATGAATTAGGGTACCTTTTTCTGCTTTACATTTCACACAGATATCAGGGACATTCGGGATTATGTGGTTTAATGTACTAGGCATGAGATAAGTACGCATCAGCCATTTATATTGAAGTAACTTAAATTTGGTATTAATAGACTGGCTCTGAGCCTTAAAACAAGCTATTTCCCATTCCGCTTCATGAATATCCTCCTTCATGTCAATTCTCCATGCCTCCAGTTTTTTGGAAGAAGACTCCTTTGAATATTTTAATAACAGGTCATAAAACAAGGAAAGTTGTCCTCTCCCATTCATGTGGGATATAGTTAATTCTTCAATCTTAGACAATGGAGGTAGAGACAACTGTTTATATGTGGATAAAATAAAATGTTTCAACTGTAAGTATTTGAAGAAATGTTTTCTTGGAATATCATATTTCTCACATAACTGATTATATGACATCAAGTCGCCTTCTGCATAGAAATCTAAAATGTTTTCAACACCTTTGTTAAACCGCATCTTAAATCCGCCATCTGCCCTCCCCGATATAAAGCAATTATTACCC